CACCAATACACACCACCATACTACCCACTACACACCACTACTCACACACCACTAACACACACACCCACTACACACCACTACCCCACCACACTACTACACCACTACACCCACTACTAACACCACCACTACACCACTACACACCCCCACTACACCACACTACACCACTACACACACCACACTACACCACTACACACCACTACTACACACCACTACACACCACTACACCACTACACACCACCACTACTACACCACTACACACACCACTACTACACCACTACACACCACACTACTACACCACTACACACCACTCACTATACACACACACTACACCACTACACACACCACTACTACACCACTACACACCATACTACACACCACCACTACACCACTACACACCACCACTACTACACCACTACACACCACCACTACTACACCACTACCACCACTACTACACACCACACTACACCACTACACACCACCACTACTACACCACTACACACCACCACTACACCACTACACACCACCACTACTACACACACTACACACCACTACTACACACACCATACACCACTACACACCACCACTACTACACCACTACACACCACCACTACTACACCACTACACCACTACACACCACCACTACACCACTACACACCACCACTACTACACCACTACACACCACACACTACTACACCACTACACCACTACACACCACCACTACACCACTACACACCACCACTACTACACCACTACACACCACCACTACTACACCACTACACACCACTACTACACACCACCCACTACACCACTACACACCACCACTACTACAACCACTACACACCCTCTAACACACACCAACTACACCTACTACACACACCACTACTACACCACTACACACCACCACTACACACCTCCACTACACTACATACAACCACTACACCACTACTAGGCACCACCACTACACAACTACACACCATCACTACACCACTATACACTTCTACACTTGGCACTGTGTCTCCATGTGACTCAGTCCTTGGCACTCTTCCAACTGACCCAGATGATTCACCCAAACTGATGAGACTTATCTCAGTCTCTCTATGATCTAGTATTACTAGTGTGTCTAGAACTGTGTCTGTGACCTAGTGTGTCTAGAACTGTGTCTGTGATCTAGTGTGTCTAGAACTGTGTCTGTGATCTAGTGTGTCTAGAACTGTGTCTGTGATCTAGTGTGTCTAGAACTGTGTCTGTGATCTAGTGTGTCTAGAACTGTGTCTGTGATCTAGTGTGTCTAGAACTGTGTCTGTGATCTAGTGTGTCTAGAACTGTGTCTGTGATTTAGTGTGTCTAGAACTGTGTCTGTGATCTAGTATGTCTAGAACTGTGTCTGATCTAGTGTGTCTAGAACTGTGTCTGTGATCTAGTGTGTCTAGAACTGTGTCTGTGATCTAGTACGTCTAGAACTGTGTCTGATCTAGTGTGTCTAGAACTGTGTCTGTGATCTAGTGTTACTGGTGTGTCTAGAACTGTCTGTGATCTAGTGTTAGTAGTGTGTTTAGAACTGTGTCTATGATTTAGTGGAAGTAGTGTGTCTAGAACTGTGTCTGTGATCTAGTGTGTCTAGAACTGTGTCTATGATTTAGTGTTACTAGTGTGTCTAGAACTGTCTGTGATCTAGTGTTACTGGTGTGTCTAGAACTGTCTGTGATCTAGTGTTACTGGTGTGTCTAGAACTGTCTGTGATCTAGTGTTACTGGTGTGTCTAGAACTGTCTGTGATCTAGTGTTACTGGTGTGTCTAGAACTGTCTGTGATCTAGTGTTACTGGTGTGTCTAGAACTGTCTTTTAATCTAGTGTTACTGGTGTGTCTAGAACTGTCTGTGATCTAGTGTTACTGGTGTGTCTAGAACTGTTGTGATCTAGTGTTACTGGTGTGTCTTAGAACTGTCTGTGATCTAGTGTTACTGGTGTGTCTAGAACTGTCTGTGATCTTTGTGTTAATGGTGTGTCTAGAACTGTCTGTGATCTAGTGTTACTGGTGTGTCTAGAACTGTCTGTGATCTAGTGTTACTGGTGTGTCTAGAACTGTCTGTGATCTAGTGTTACTGGTGTGTCTAGAACTGTCTGTGATCTAGTGTTACTGGTGTGTCTAGAAAATGTCTGTGATCTAGTGTTACTGGTGGTCTAGAATCTGTTGTGATCTAGTGTTACTGGTGTGTCTAGAACTGTCTGTGATCTAGTGTTACTGGTGTGTCTAGAACTGTCTGTAATCTAGTGTTACTGGTGTGTTTAGAACTGTCTGTGACTGTGTTATGGTGTGTCTAGAATGTCTGTGATCTAGTGTTGGTGGTGTGTCTAGAAATGTCTGTGATCTAGTGTTACTAGTGTGTCTAGAACTGTGTTTGTGATCTAGTGTGTCTAGAACTGTGTCTATGATCTAGTGTAACTAGTGTGTCTAGAACTGTTTTTCTATGATCTAGTGTTACTGAGGTGTCTAGAACCGTCTGTCTATGATCTTGTGTTACTGGGGTGTCTAGAACGGTCCGTCTATGATCTTGTGTTACTGGGGTGTCTAGAACTGTCTGTCTATGATCTTGTGTTACTGGGGTGTCTAGAACTGTCTGTCTATGATCTTGTGTTACTGAGGTGTCTAGAACTGTCTGTCTATGATCTTGTGTTACTGAGGTGTCTAGAACTGTCTGTCTATGATCTTGTGTTACTGGGGTGTCTAGAACTGTCTGTCTATGATCTTGTGTTACTGAGGTGTCTAGAACTGTCTGTCTATGATCTAGCGTTACTGGGGTGTCTAGAACTGTCTGTCTATGATCTTGTGTTACTGAGGTGTCTAGAACTGTCTGTCTATGATCTTGTGTTACTGGGGTGTCTGTTAAGTATCATTGTGGTCCAGTCTGGGTGTACAATGTAAGAGTTTCTAGCTGTGACAGCTGGTGCAAGTATCGTTATGTCACGAGCTGTGACAGCTGGTGCAAGTACTGTTTTGCCACCAGCTGTGACAGCTGCCTTAAGGACTGTTCTGTAACCAGCTGTGACAGCTGGCGCAAGTACTGTTCTGTTACCAGATGCTGTTAATTCTTCACACACTCAGGAACAATATTGCTCCTTGTGTTACTTACCTCAGTCACAGCACACTTGACACACTCAGGAACAATATTGCTCCTTGTGTTACTTACCCAGTACAGCAACTTGACACATCAGGAACAATATTGCTCCTTGTGTTACTTACCTCTGTCACAGCACACTTGACACACTCAGGAACACTATTGCTCCATGTGTTACTTACCTCAGTCACAGCACACTTGACACACTCAGGAACAATATTGCTCCTTGTGTTACTTACCTCTGTCACAGCACACTTGACACACTCAGGAACAATATTGCTCCTTGTGTTACTTACCTCTGTCACAGCACACTTGACACACTCAGGAACAATATTGCTCCTTGTGTTACTTACCTCTGTCACAGCACACTTGACACTCAGGAACAATATTGCTCCTTGTGTTACTTACCTCTGTCACAGCACACTTGACAAGACACAATATGGATCAGCTGTCATTGCATGCACTACTCCTCTCAAAGAGGATGACTTGATGCTGGTGTAGGGCTCCTGATCCAAGGAACCAGAGCTACCTCCCCTTCCTCGGATCAAGCATGATTACCTCCCCATAATGGTTTAGCGCTTCTCCTTCAATACAATAATAATTATATTTGTATTACCATCCTTACTGTATTAATGATTAGTATTATGTACGTGTCAGACTCAGGAGACACGGACTGGGCACGGCCCATGGACGAGCGGCCCGTGTTGGCCCTGCCAGCGGCTGGGCGGGCCGTGGCCTGGGTGGTGGGCCAGAGGCGGCCAGACTGGGGCTGGGCCACAGACACTGCCCACACTGTGCTGGCCCTCAGGTTGGCGAACGCTACCTGGTTCAATCCTAGCAACCTGGAAGCTCAGCTAGTCACCAAGCAACTGGAACTGGAACTAGTGCTGAGACTCTGGAAGTGAGTACTGAGTGCTGCTTGACGTCTGGATTAGAGAGAGAACTGGAACTGGTGCTGTGGCTCTGGAAGTGTAGAAAGGCAAGAGATGAGATAAAGGAAGAGTAAGTGGAGAGAGAGTTGGTAAGGGGATGATAACGACAGGAGGCTGGAGAGTGTAAAGCTTGGATGGATGGAGTGTGAAAGGTGTTAAGCTTGGATGCATGGAGCGTGAAAGGTGTTAAGCTTGGATGGATGGAGCGTGAAAGGTGTTAAGCTTGGATGCATGGAGCGTGAAAGGTGTTAAGCTTGGCAGAAGATGATAGGTGTGAGAGGCCGAAAGGTCAGTGAGAGATATTTTCTAATTTATGATATAAATTATTTGTCGTTGTCTCTCTTGCTCTCTCTGTCTTTCTGTCTCTGTCTCTGTCTGTCTGTTTCTCTCTCTGTCTGTATATCTCTCTCTCTCTGTTATGTTCAACTTTTATGTTAACTTGAGTATCAAATGACTGTCATACCAGCCGCTGATATGTGTTTTATGTACCAGGCATCGGGAGCTGCCTCTCACCACGGGTCATCTAGCTGTCAATGTGATGGCACTGGTGGCACTGTGTCGGGACCCCAGAGCATTCTACTCTAAAGACCTCGTCGGTAAGATAATTGCTTTAGTTGACCTTACTGTATCTCACGCTGATGTGCATTTATTGGCCTTATGTCATCAGGTATCCTGACCTTCATGGAACTGTTTGAGCTGCTTGAAGCTTTGTGTGACCTTGGACCTTCCTTGACCTTGGACCTTGTGTGACCTTGGACCTTCCTTGAGCTTGGACCTTGTGTGACCTTGGACCTTCCTTGACCTTGGACCTAGATTTAGTGTTAATAGACTTGTTTGATAAGTTTGTTTGCGAGTGAGAGTGATTGCTTCACCTGTCTTACACGTTAGTTGACCACGTGTGAAGTTTGACACACACACACACACACACACACACCACACACACACACACACACACACACACACACACACACGACTACATCACTTTCCTCTGCGTTTAAATTGGTATTGAAAACTTCGTTATCTTGAAGGCAAAGAAATTTTAGTCACGTATTCTCGTTATAAAAGAGAGAGAGAGCAAGAGAGAAAGAGAGCAAGCGAGAGAGAAAGAGAGCAAGACAGATAGAGAGCAAGAGAGCAAGACAGAGAACAAGAGAGAGAGAAAGCAAGAGAGAGAGAGAGCCAGAGAGAGAACAAGAGAGCAAAAGAGAGAAAGAGAGCAAGACAGAGAGAGCAAGAGAGAGAACAAGAGAGAAAGATAGCAAGAGAGAGAGAGCCAGAGAGAGAACAAGAGAGCAAGAGAGAGAGAGAGAGAGAGAGAAAAGAGAGAAAGAGAGCGAGAGAACAAGAGAGCAAGAGACAGAGAGAGAGCAAGAGAGAGAATAAGAGAGAAAGAGAGCAAGAGAGACAGAACAAGAGAGAAAGAGCAAGAGAGAGAGAGAGAGAGAGAGAGAGAGAGAGAGAGAGAGAGCTCATTTATCAGAATGATGGAGAGTTAAGGAAAGGAGGAACGTATAAAGCCTGTGTCTCCTCCTCCTCTTCCTCCTCTTCATCCTTCTCCTCCTCCTCCTCTTCCTCTTAATCCTCCTCTTCTTTACCCTCATTGTTGTCATTCTTGGTCATGAGGTGAGACATTTGTAATATTCTTGGTCATGAGGTGAGACATTTGTAATATTCTTGGTCATGAGGTGAGACATTTGTAACATTCTTGGTCATGAGGTGAGACATTTGTAATATTCTTGGTCATGAGGTGAGACATTTGTAATATTCTTGGTCATGAGGTGAGACATTTGTAATATTCTTGGTCATGAGGTGAGACATTTGTAATATTCTTGGTCATGAGGTGAGACATTTGTAACATTCTTGGTCATGAGGTGAGACATTTGTAATATTCTTGGTCATGAGGTGAGACATTTGTAACATTCTTGGTCATGAGGTGAGACATTTGTAATATTCTTGGTCATGAGGTGAGACATTTGTAATATTCTTGGTCATGAGGTGAGACATTTGTAACATTCTTGGTCATGAGGTGAGACATTTGTAATATTCTTGGGTCATGAGGTGAGACATTTGTAACATTCTTGGTCATGAGGTGAGACATTTGTATATTCTTGGTCATGAGGTGAGACATTTGTAATATTCTTGGTCATGAGGTGAGACATTTGTAATATTCTTGGTCATGAGGTGAGACATTTGTAATATTCTTGGTCATGAGGTGAGACATTTGTATAATTTCTTGGTCATGAGGTGAGACATTTGTAACATTCTTGGTTCATGAGGTGAGACATTTGTAATATTCTTGGTCATGAGGTGAGACATTTGTAATATTCTTGGTCATGAGGTGAGACATTTGTAATATTCTTGGTCATGAGGTGAGACATTTGTAATATTCTTGGTCATGAGGTGAGCATTTGTAATATTCTTGGTCATGAGGTGAGACATTTGTAACATTCTTGGTCTATGAGGTGAGACATTTGTAACATTCTTGGTCATGAGGTGAGATATTTGTAATATTCTTGGTCATGAGGTGAGACATTTGTAACATTCTTGGTCATGAGGTGAGATATTTGTAATATTCTTGGTCATGAGGTGAGACATTTGTAACATTCTTGGTCATGAGGTGAGACATTTGTAACATTCTTGGTCATGAGGTGAGATATTTGTAATATTCTTGGTCATGAGGTGAGACATTTGTAACATTCTTGGTCATGAGGTGAGACATTTGTAACATTCTTGGTCATGAGGTGAGATATTTGTAATATTCTTGGTCATGAGGTGAGACATTTGTAACATTCTTGGTCATGAGGTGAGACATTTGTAACATTCTTGGTCATGAGGTGAGATATTTGTAATATTCTTGGTCATGAGGTGAGACATTTGTAACATTCTTGGTCATGAGGTGAGATATTTGTAACATTCTTGGTCATGAGGTGAGACATTTGTAACATTCTTGGTCATGAGGTGAGACATTTGTAACATTCTTGGTCATGAGGTGAGATATTTGTAATATTCGGTTATCTTTATTGGCCAAACTCATCTTCTTCGTTCCCTTCTTCTTCTTCTTCTTCTTTCTTCGTCTTCATCTTCTCCCTCAGTTACTATGAACCAAACAAGAGTAAATATCTGCAACACTCGATATCAGTAATACATCTCGCTCAGTGTTCACTGGGAATTAATGTAAGAGTAAGCCGGTGCGGGGGAAGTCTTCCCGTGTGAGGGGGAAGTCTTCCCGTGTGAGGGGGAAGTCTTCCCGTGTGCGGGGGAAGTCTTCCCGTGTGAGGGGGAAGTCTTCCCGTGTGGAGGGGGAAGTCTTCCCGTGTGCGGAGGAAGTCTTCCCGTGTGGCGGGGGAAGTCTTCCCGTGTGCGGGGGAAGTCTTCCCGTGTGAGGGGGAAGTCTTCCCGTGTGCGGGGGAAGTCTTCCCGTGTGAGGGGGAAGTCTTCCCGTGTGAGGGGGAAGTCTTCCCGTGTGCGGGGGAAGTCTTCCCGTGTGCGGGGGAAGTCTTCCCGTGTGCGGGGGAAGTCTTCCCGTGTGCGGGGGAAGTCTTCCCGTGTGAGGGGAAGTCTTCCCGTGTGAGGGGGAAGTCTTCCCGTGTGCGGGGGAAGTCTTCCCGTGTGCGGGGGAAGTCTTCCCGTGTGCGGTAGGAAGTCTTCCCGTGGTGCGGGGGAAGTCTTCCCGTGTGTGGGGGAAGTTTCCCGTGTGAGGGGGAAGTCTTCCGTGTGCGGGGGAAGTCTTCCCGTGTGCGGGGGAAGTTTCCCGTGTGAGGGGGAAGTCTTTCCCGTATGCGGGGGAAGTCTTCCCGTGTGCGGGGGAAGTCTTCCCGTGTGCGGAGGAAGTCTTCCCGTGTGCGGGGGAAGTCTTCCCGTGTGCGAGGGAAGTCTTCTCGTGTGAGGGGGAAGTCTTCCCGTGTGCGGGGGAAGTCTTCCCGTGTGGCGGGGGAAGTTTTCCCCGTGTGAGGGGGAAGTCTTCCCGTGTGCGGGGGAAGTCTTCCGTGTGCGGGGGAAGTCTTCCGTGTGCGGGGGAAGTCTTCCCGTGTGCGGGGGGAAGTCTTCCCGTGTGCGGGGGAAGTCTTCCGTGTGCGGGGGAAGTCTTCCGTGTGCGGCGGAAGTCTTCCCGTGTGAGGGGGAAGTCTTCCCGTGTGCGGGGGAAGTCTTCCCGTGTGCGGGGGAAGTCTTCCCGTGTGCGGGGGAAGTCTTCCGTGTGCGGGGGAAGTCTTCCGTGTGCGGGGGAAGTCTTCCGTGTGCGGGGGAAGTCTTTCCCGGTGTGCGCGGGGGAAGTCTTCCCGTGTGCGGGGGAAGTCTTCCCGTTGAGGGGGAAGTCTTCCCGTGTGAGGGGGAAGTCTTCCGTGTGAGGGGGAAGTTTTCCCCGTGTGAGGGGGAAGTCTTCCCGTGTGCGGGGGGAAGTCTTCCCGTGTGAGGGGGAAGTCTTCCCGTGTGCGGGGGAAGTCTTCCGTGTGAGGGGGAAGTCTTCCCGTGTGCGGGGGAAGTCTTCCCGTGTGAGGGGGAAGTCTTCCCGTGTGCGGGGGAAGTCTTCCCGTGTGCGGGGGAAGTCTTCCCGTGTGCGGGGGAAGTCTTCCCGTGTGAGGGGGAGTCTTCCCGTGTGCGGGGGGAAGTCTTCCCTTTGTGCGGGGGAAGTCTTCCGTGTGGGGGGGAAAAGTTTCCCGTGTGAGGGGGAAGTCTTCCCGTGTGCGGGGGAAGTCTTCCCGTGTGCGGGGGAAGTCTTCCCGTGTGCGGGGGAAGTCTTCCCGTGTGAGGGGGAAGTCTTCCCGTGTGAGGGGGAAGTCTTCCCGTGTGCGGGGAAGTCTTCCCGTGTGCGGGGGAAGTCTTCCCGTGTGCGGGGGAAGTCTTCCCGTGTGCGGGAGGGAACAAGAATTACCATAAAATATGAGAGCTGGAATCTGAAATATATTAGTGACTCCAACAATGGTCTCGTCTCTCTCACTCCCAGCTGCTCTTCCCGCTTTCTTTTTCACTCTCAATATTTTATCCTCGCAGAAAACGGATTCATTTTAATACGACAAGATGATATTCACATTATTATTATTATTATTATTATTATTATTATTATTAATTACCAATAATAATAATAATAATAATTATATTATTATTATTATCATCATCAATGTTATTATAGTTATTGTTACTATTATTATTATCAATATTATTATTATTATTACTATTATTATTATTGTGGCTTTTATTATTTTCCATTGTTCATGTCGCTGTTTTTATTAATATTTCTTGCTGAAATAATAATATTTTTGGATGGATGGGGGACGCGGGAGATTCATGGTTGTAATTGGTTCGTTAACAGGTGGCATGTAGCCAATCAGGAAGAAGCTAAACGAACCCATGGCCCCACCCTTGTGTGCTCTCTCTCTCTCTCTCTCTCTCTCTCTCTCTCTCTCTCTCTCTCTCTCTCTCTCTCTCTCTCTCTCTCTCTCTCTCTCTCTCTCTCTCTCTCTCTCTCTCTCTCAAACACACACTGAAGAAGTTTACACTCAACATCTGCTCACACGAAAACCAATTTGGAAGCAATCATATCGCCTTTTTGGTGGCACATTTGTGTATGTACATATGTACGTTTTTAATGTGTGTGTGT